CCATAATTATCCCATAATTATCCCAATAGAGATTGCTGCACAACACTTTCGGCTATTTTCATCCTGAAACCATTGCTGGTCCCTGCTAGAGTGGTGGTCATAAGTGCCCGGAGAAGCTATCCAGCCTGTTTGCGATTCATGTCCTGTAGCTCTGGTTTGTTTTTAGATGTCAATCCAAAAACTGCCTAGAGACAGTGGGAGTGCAGTCTCTTTAGATATCCCCTCCCACCTGGATTTGTGTGTGTGGAAATCTATGCAGAAAAACACGTGTGATATGAACCACACCATCAACAAGAGGGTTACAAACATGTTCAGGTTTTCATATAGGGTTGCCAACCCCCCTGGGGTCCCCCGTTTTTCGGGGGGGTTCTACCCGCCGCCGGCCAGATGGCCGGTGGGGGAAGCCCCACCCCCAACACCCACAGCCACTCATCTCTCTACCTTTAAGTGTGTGCAACCCGTGTTTCATCCCAAGCCCAAACTCCGCAAGCTTGCAAGGAAAAGCCAGCTTCGTTCTTAAAAGGGAAACGCAGCTGCTCTTAAAGGGGAAACGCCGGCTGCTGGCTACTTTAACTGCAGGGAACTGCCGTTTCTGGAGATCCGGCGCACGGGCGGGGTGGTGGTGGTGGCAGACGTCCCCAACATGACATCATCACGTCGGGGATGCCCCACCCCCTCCAGGAACGCCCCCAAAGTCCCCCGCTGGGGGTGGAAGATGGACTTGGCAACCCTATTTTCATACAATGGACCCTTAGGAGTACAGCCTTGGTCTCCCTGCAGAGTTAGCAGGCAGCTTCAAGAGGTTGTGAGACGGCGGAGGCAATGGTGGCATCCAAAAGAGCCAAGAGACCGAAGCCAGGACATGATTGAACTTATCAGAACCTATACTCTGTTTCAAGAGGCATCCCCCATGAAGGCTGCCCTCTTCCCAGTAAAATGTTAACGCTGTGATTCCTGGAGCAGGGAATTGGCAGGTAGGAGGGGAACTGGAAGCTAAAAAGATTGGGTTTCCACAAACACATGTTACAAGCATCCCATCAAACACTTACACATGTTCAAATGCTCATAAGAATATAAGAGCCCTGCTGGATCCGACCAGTGGTCCATCTTGTCCAGCATCCTGTCTCACACAGGGGCCAACCAGTTCCTCTGGAGGGCCAACAACAGGGCAGAGAGGCCGAGGCCTTCCCCTGGTAAGAACCTAAGAAGAGCCCTGCTAGATCAGACCAGTGAGGGTCCATCTAGTCCAGCATCCTGCCTCACGTAGAGGTCAACCAGTTCCTCTGGAGGGCCAACAACAGGGCAGAGAGGCCGAGGCCTCCCCCTGGTGTTGCCTCTTGGATCTGGGATTCAGAGGTTTAGTGTCTTTGAATGTGGAGGTTCCCCATAGTCACCATACTCCTGAGTGTTCATCGGAGATGCCTGCAAAAATAAGACCAGTGTTGGATTCTGCATCAGAATGTTGGCACCTCATTATTTCTAACGGGTTAGGAAGCTGGCTATCCCTGTCTGGGTGTCTGTTCCTTCAACAGCCAGCTTTCAAATAGCATAGAACAGGGGTGGCCAAACTGCAGCTTGGGAGCCACATGTGGCTCTTTCACATATGTTGTGCTGCTCCCAGCATGGTGGCTAGGGAAGTGAAGGGGGGGACAGTCTTCCCTTCCCAGCCAGTGTTCCCCTCCATGGGTAGGCTTGAGGTGGGGGGGGGCAGAGAAAGAAAGCAACTTTAAATGCATTCTCAAAAGCCCCCCACTGGGCTGGCTTGGAGAAAGCATTTGTCTCTTTAAATATCATTATCAACACCTGTTTTTACCCTTTTTGTTTTTATTTCTGGCAGTCTTATTTAATGTTAATGTTAATAAAAAGGAAATTTGCCTATTTTCCAATAAAAACATGTGTAATATCTGTTCATGCCTTGAGGCTCTCAAACATCTGACGTTTTATTCTATGTGGCTCTTATGTTAAGCAAGTTTGACCACCCCTGGGATAGAAGATGGCAGCATCATAGAAAATCAGGCGTCTCTCCTTGTAGCAAGAGTCACATAAGAACATAAGAACAAAAGAGACACCAATGTTGGATCAGGCCAAAGGCCCATTCAGTCCAACACCCTGTATCACACAGTGGCCAGAAATACCAGTGCCCTCAGGAGGTCCACCAGTGGGGCCAGGGCATTAGAAGCCCTCCCACTGTTGACCCCCCCCAAGCACCAAGAAGACAGAGCATCACTTGCCCCAGAGCCCCTATCTATACCTTATGGCTAATAGCCACTGATGGACCTCTGCTCCATATGCTTATCTAATTCCCTCTTGAAGCTGTCCATGCTTGTAGTCGCCACCACCTCCTGTGGCAGTGAATTCCGTGCGTTAATCACTCTTTGGGCAAAGAAGTACTTCCTTTTATCTGTTCTAACCCGACTGCTCAGCAATTTCATGGAGTGCCCGCGAGTTCTTGTATTGTGAGAAAGGGAGAAAAGTACCTCTTTCTCTACCTGCTCTATCCCATGCTCTATCCACATGACCTCTCGCATGGTGCAGAACAAAATGGCTTCCACATACATGATAACCATATAAATGGGCTCAAAGAGTTCTGCCAGAGAACAAAACTTTCAGAAGTTTTGTGCCGAAAAGCGGAGAAGTCAAGAATAACTAAACCGAGAACTAATACAAATTCTTCACGTCCGTTAGAGAGATCAGAGAAGCAGAAGCCATTCTTATGGGTGACAGGGACAATATTCTATTGACGCAAGCTGGCAACTCCTGTATCATAACGTAATGAATTCTATCACTCACTTTTCACAGCGGAGAATGAAAGAAACACCGTCCAACTGACAGATATTTCCCAAGGTAGTCAGGTTAGAAAGAAAAGGCATTGGAAACGATCAAGATGAATCCCGACCAAATAATTTAGAAGTCATAGCAACGAAAGACCGTCAAAGGAGAGACTGGGGGTCGGGGGGGGGGGACGGCATAAAAGTCCGTGGCTGATGCAATTAGGAGATTTTTTTTAAAAGAACAGCAGGACACAAAGAAATAAGGAGCCGAGCTGCAGGCCTATCTTCCCAATCTGTGGCATAACTGCTTGGGTAAGTAAACACAGCCTTCTAGGGTTTGTTACCTGGCCCATTCTGGGCCCTGGCCCAATAACACCTTTCTAAGCAAAGTATAAAGTATGTAGGCTGTAAGGTACAAAATCATCAATAATAACAACACTTCAACAATACATATAGATAACTGTAATAAATTAACAAACGATGATCTGCAGGTTTATCACGCCATCCAAATTCAAAGTTTCTCCTCCTCCTATGAAGTGTAGCATAACCACATTTTTTTTTCTTAGAAGAGAACCCAAAGATAATGATACGTGCAGTTCAGAATCCTTCCTTTCCCTGGAGATTATCACCACAGGTCATTCCCTTGAGAGGCTTTAAGAAGAAGAGATTGGATTTATACCCCACCCTTCACTACACAAAGGAGTCTCAGAGCGGTTTACAAACTCCTTTCCCTTCCCCTCCCCACAAGAGACACCCTGTGAGGTAGGCGGGGCTGAGAGAGCTCTGAGAGAAACTGCTCTTTTTCAAGGACAGTTCTTATCAGAACTACGGCTTGCCCAAGGTCATCCAGCCAGGTGCAAGTGGAGGAGTGAGGAATCAAACCCGGCTCTCCCAGATTAGAGTCCGTGCACTTAACCACTACACCAAACTGTTTTTTACACTGTTTCATTCAATATAGATTTACTCTCACTGTAATAGGTGAGTCACTGCATTGCAGAGTGTCTTACTTTTTAGTGCTGTAAGCATCTACAAGATACCCATTGTATTTCATTGAATGTTTTGCTTTCATATTTATCTTTTACAGTGATTGAAGAAGAACTATACCGGGACCTTGTATTGCTGTTATTCGCTGTTATACTGTCTCTGAATGTTCTAGTTCCCATTTGTATAGGACGCCTCAACTATTGTATAGTTAGATTTTGCTTGACTGCATCCTATATGTTCATTTGGCTACTGTATTTTTTAAAGTTCTGTGAGTTCATTTGTACAGGGTTTTTTTGTAATTGACTGTAAAAAGGTAAAGGTTCCCTTGCTCGAAAGCCAGTCGAATCCGACTCTAGGGTTGCGGTGCTCATCTTCGTTTCAAAGCCGAAGAGCCAGTGCTGTCCAAAGACATTTCCATGGTCATGTGGCCAGCATGACTAAACACCAAGGTGCACAGAATGCTGTTCCCTTCCCACTGAAGTGGTACCTATTTATCTACTTGCAATTTCTTGCTTTCGAACTGCTAGGTCGGCAGGACTGTAGTGTTGTACTATTTTCAATAGAGTCACTATTTGGGAATTTTCATTGTTGGAACATTTATACTGTTACTGTGTATGATTCTTTTTCTAGTAAAAAGGTAAAGGTAAAGGTTCCCTTGCTCGAAAGCCAGTCGAATCCGACTCTAGGGTTGCGGTGCTCATCTCCGTTTCAAAGCCGAAGAGCCAGCGCTGTCCGAAGACGTTTCCGTGGTCATGTGGCCGGCATGACTAAACACCAAGGTGCACGGAACACTGTTTTGTTCCCACCGAAGTGGTACCTATTTATCTACTTGCAATTTCTTGTGCTAGGTTGGCAGGAGCTGGAACTAGAGATGGGAGCTCACTCCATCATGCGGCACCCGGGTCTCGAACTGCTGAACTACCAACCTTCCACAGCCTGCAGTTCAGCGTCTTAACCACTTGAGCCACCGCAGCTCCTCCGGCAACCCGAACCAGTGGCTATTAAGCAAGGGTGACTAATTGAAACTTCTCCATTCAGAGGCAGTATACCTCCGAGTATCAGTGTTGGCGGGGCAACAACAGGGGAAGGGTTTATTCTCTGTGTCCAGCTGATAAGCCTTCCAAGGACATCTGGTTGTCAAATGTGTGAGACAGGATGCCGGACAAGATGGGCCGCTGGTCTGGTCCAGCAGAGCTTGCTCTTATGTCCATACACGCACATACAGGTTTGACCTCCCCTTCTCACCATAAGAAGCCGGTCTCCGACTTGTAACCTCCCGTCCTTCTGCGCTGCCCCTCCATCGATAATTTTTGTGACATAAATGCTGTTGTCTCCAGGGATGTGCTGATTCCCCACGCCTCCCGCAATGCTGAATCCGAGACCTGAGAAAGAGAGGAGGGAGGGCAAGCGTGATTCAAAAGGTACAGGCAACGAAAGAGAGGACAGACGATCGATACGTTTTTAATTGTCTGTAGGCCACATGGAGATCAAGGTGCCCTGCAACTGACACATGTAGGACTTTACACACACAAAAGGTATTTATTTACTTCATTTGGGTCCTTTCTCTACTGTATCCTCACAACAGCCCTGTGAGGTAGGTTGGGCTGATAGTGTGTGACTGGCCCAAGGTCACCCAGCAGGCTTCCATGGCAGAGTGCAGATGGGTCGCCCAGATCCTAGTCTGACATTCTGACTACTACACCATACCGATTCTCAAGAAAAATCATTGCAAGAAATGATTGCAAGAAATGAGAGCCAGTTTGGTATAGTGGTTATGAGCATGACCTCTAATCTGGGAGAACTGGGTTTGATTCCCCACTCTTCCACGTGCAGCCAGCTGGGTGACCTTGGGTCAGTCACAAGTTCCCTCAGAGCTGGTTTCTCAGGAGCAGTTCTCGAAAGCCCCACCTGCCTCACAGGGTGTCTGTTGTGGGGAGGGGAAGGGAACGGAGATTGTAAGCCACTCTGAGACTCCGAGTGAAGGGCAGGGTATAAATCCAATCTCTTCTTCTTCTGTGTGTGAATAATAGATGGAATCACTGAATCAGGCTACTTGTCCACTAAGTTTAGTATCACCTGTTCAGACAAGCAGCCATCCTCCAGGATCTGAGCATCTTTGCCAATCCCGTTACTCTTTGAGGTGGAGGTGCCAGAGATTGCATTAGGGAAAGCAGATTACATTTGGGAACAGAGTTACGCACCCGAGGAGCCAGCACAACTGAATACACGGCTGCTTCATCCTCTCTTCTATTCCACACCCTTTTGGTTCAAGGCTGGCAACACAGCCGAGAGTGATCACTGCCCATTATGTCTTTTCTTGGGTTTCGGAGGGGGCAACATCTTCCTTAGTTCTACCCAAGATCCCTTAGATGATGATGAAGAAGGTGTCTCAGAGTGGCTTACAATCTCCTTTCCCCACAACAGACACCCTGTGAGGTAGCTGGGGCTGAGAGAGCTCTTCTGAGGACTGCTCTTGAGAGGACAGCTCTGAAAGAACTTGTGACTGACCCAAGGCCACACCAGCAGCTGCATGTGGAGGAGTTGTGAATCAAATCTTCCAGAGTAGAGTCCATGCTCCTAACCACTACACCAGTCTGGTTTAAACGAGTCTCAATCTGTGTAAGGGGAATCAAGTGGTCCACACAGCTACACTCCACTTTAGCTCAATCCCTGAAAGGATGACTTTTGGTCTCTGTGGGGGTGGGAAGTGCCGTCAAGTCATAGCTGACTTATGGTGACCAGATGGGGTTTTCAAGGCGAGAGACATTCAGAGGTGGTTCGCCATTGCCTGCTTGCCTCCGCCTCCCGACCCTGGTATTCTTTGGAAGCCTCCCATCCAAATACTTGCAAGGGCCAACCCTGCTTACTTTCTGAGATCTGATGAGATTGGGCTATCCAGGCCCAGTCTTTGCAGCAAGAACTAATGTGGGGTGTCTCTGATGCTATTACGCATTTCAAAGAAGGCGTAGTATGAAAATAGGGTTGCCACCGGTGGGGGATGTGGAGGTTGGGTTGCCAGATCCAGGTTGGGAAACTCCTGGAGATTTGGGGATGGAGCCTGGGGAGGACAGGGACCTCAGTGGGGTACTATGCCATAGAGTCCACCCTCCAAAGCATCCATTTTCTGAAGGAAAGGGGGCTGGTCTCTATAGTCTGGAGATGAGGTATAATTCCAGGGGATCCCCAGGTCCCTCCTGGAGGCTGGCATCCCTACATGCACAAAATAAGCAAAGCTGTGCACAATAGAAGGCGCTGAGAGCAGCCAAAGCTAATAAATACAATATTGTAATATATATAAGGACATAGATGAGACTATAGAATCAAGAATAACAAAGCCATCAAATATAGCAGCAGGTGGAAGAATTGGTGTTAGAATTTCTTTCGAAGGTTTCTTTGGTTGGTGACTGGTTGCCCATTGATACCAACTGCAGATTCTTCTGAGGGTTGTTCTTCTGAGATGTGTATATCCTGGTTGTATTGAAAATTATACCTGAGAGAACTTGTAATAGTCTTAACTGAAGAAGAGTTTTTTTACAACCTTATTAATACCCGGAACCTTCCTATCAACTCTTCGGACTATTTGCCTGCTTGACTGACTTATGCTTTGTTATTCTTAATTCTATATTCTCATCTATGTCCTTGTTTGTATGTTTGTTTGTATGCATGCATGTATGTATGTATGTATGTATGTATGTATGTATGTATATTACATTACATTACAATATTGCTTTGGCTACTCTCAGCATCTTGTGCACAGCTTTGCTTATTTTTTATTTATTTTTTTGCTGTGTGATTGCTTACTGTTTATTTATCCCTATATGCAAAGCATGTTGTGGCAGCTATGGGGTGAGAGAGGGGGGGAATCTTTGAGGCAACTCCCTTCTGGACTGAAGAACATTCAGTCCTCTACTCTGGCCTCTCCTGTAGACAGGGGTCATTTCCTGCAGGAGCGCACAGGAGCGGAGCTCCGGCAGTAAAGAGCCCAGGGGGCGGGCACATGCAACAAGCCCCACCCCCTACTCCCAGCAGCCCTCAGTCAGAGCAAGAAGCAGCCAGGTAAGTCACAGAGCTCCCCCGGTCCAAAACAGTCCAGTGGCACCTTTAAGACCAAGTTTTATTCAGGTACAAGCTCTCCCTCCTCTGCGAGGGCAGATCTGCACGTTCTCCCTCACCTCAATAGCTAGCAATCCAAAACAGTCCAGTGGAGCTTTCTGACACACTTCTGGTGATGTCAGGGGGTAGGGCATATGCAAATGATTATGCTAATGAGTTGTGCTAATGAGCTCCTGCACTTCTTTTTCTACGAAATGACCCCTGCCTGTAGATATACCCCAACCACCCACAATCAAATCAAAAGGGAGACCCAAACTTTAAATTAAAGATTGGTATAGCAGGTAAGCTATGTGCTCCCTAAAGGTCTCTTACTCGGAAACCTGCTGGACTAAGCCTGTGCTTATACGTGGAGTAAACAGAGATCCCTGCTTCTTGCATCTTTGGCCTGACCCGGCAAGACACAGATGGAGATGAACAACCAAGGTTTATTTAACAGACAACAAAGTATTTAATAGGGTAAATACGAGGTGTGGATAAATATATAAAGTCAAGCTGGCTCTCAAATACAGTAAATCACCCCAAGGGGAGGTTTGATTCTCCTTTCTCCAGACAGGAGGTTACCTCATAGGGCCACCAAGTGGGGGCGGGTAAACCCCCGCTTTGGAGGCCCGATTTCCATCGCCGCGGAATCGGGCCCTGGGGGGAACCCCGCCCCCCAAAGTGACGCAACCATGTAGAGCATGTTGGGGCGTGGCCCAACTCGTTGGAGGGAAAACTCTATGGTTTTCCCTCCAACAATTGGGGCCACGCCCCAACGTGCTCTACGTCGTGCGTCACTTCCTCAGAAGCTCCCGGACCGAAGAGACGCTCCCCTGCCGGTGAGTCAGAACGACTTGGCAACCCTATTACCTCAGCAGGTTCAAGGCGGCTCTTTTCTGTCACCGAGCATTTTCCCACAGAACCTACACAGACCAGTGAGGAATGACGAGCCCTTAGCAGGATGCTTACTTGCACCACTAAAATAAGCTTTCTTCCCACGGCTGACCCCCAAACCCTAACTAGAAAGCCAAATAAAAGCCTTTCTAAGCTGACGCTCCTTTCCAGAGCCACAAAACCCCTATCTGAAAGTTTTCAAAAAATCTTTCTTCACCCTTCTTATAGCTGAGGCCAGCTCAGCCCCTCCCATCCAGCGGACTTCCATGGGCTCTGACTGGCTGACAATCACTCGGATTTGCATCAGGCCTAAAACGAAATGATTGGTTCAGAGCCCTGGAGGAGAGGTGGGACTTTTAAGGATGATTGCCACACCTGTGCTCAGCAACTGAGCTACCGCAACATTCTCGAAGGCCATGGTAGCTAGGGTAACCCTAATGGTAGCTGTTGCTTAAATCTGAGCAGCGGTGTTGGGGATTTTTGATCCCCGCCCCCACAAAATCCATTGCCTTCCTATTGTGCAATTCAAACCTAGTTCATTTTCTTGGGTCTGTAACACTGTAGGATTGTGCTGCATGGCATTACTAATTTGTCAGTACTTTGTCGCTTTTACTCAAACTGATACTTTTTTATAGATTCAGGTGGGGCAGCCGTGTTGCTCTGAAGTCCTATGGCACATTAAGACCAACAAATGCACACCTCTTCAGATACATTGATGTGTCTATGTATTTTTGTCTATGTATTTTTTTTTTATGTGTCTATGTATCTGAAGAATCTGGACACACACGACTAAAACAGATAAACAAATATACGGTCAACAGTCGTGTTAGTCTGACGTGTTAGTCAACAGTCATACGACTTATAAGAATTGCTGTACATGTATTGTGCTCTGAAGCATTACAATATGATACATAACTTAATAGAATTTATAACCCTAACCCTAACCTTGGTTTATAAATTCTATTAAGTTATGTATCATATTGTAATGCTTCAGAGCACAATACATGTACAGCAATTCTTATAAGTCGTATGACTGTTGATTGCGGGTCAGACTAACACGACTGTTGACCTTATATTTGTTTATATGTATCTGAAGAAGAAGAAGATAAGAAGAGATTGGATTTATACCCCGCCCTTCACTACCCAAAGGAGTCTCATAGCGGCCTACAAACTCCTTTCCCTTCCCCTCCCCACAACAGACACCCTGTGAGGCAGGTGGGGCTGAGAGAGCTCTGACAGAGACTGCTCTTTTTCAAGGACAGCTTTTATCAGAACTATGGCTTGCCCAAGGTCATCCAGCAGGTGCAAGTGGAGGAGTGGGGAATCAAACCTGGTTCTCCCAGATTAGAGTCCGTGCACTTAACCACTACATCAAACTGGCTTTTGTGTGAACACAAAAGCTTATATCTTGAATTAAACTTTGTCAGTCTTAAAGGTGCCGCTGGACTCAAACTTTGTCCTGAATTTTTTGAGTTGCTTTGAAACTCCTTTTGTGTGTGTGTGTGGGGGGGGAATGTGGGGTAAATTTTCAACCAAAGAAATAAATACAAATAAACCAGAGAGTATTATCGTGCCATTTTCTGTTTGTGTTAATTCTGGTTTTTTGTATCGATGAATAAGAACTATAGCAATGAAATAAAGATCACATGTGCAAGGAGTATAGCTCAGTTCGAGCCCAGTAACACCTTAGAGCAGGGGTCATTTCGTAGAAAAATAGGTGCAGGAGCTCATTAGCATAACTTATTTGCATATGCCACACCCCCTGACATCACCGGAAGTGTGTCAGACGGCAACACCCACCACTCAGGCTCCACTGGACTGTTTTGGATTGCTAGCTATGGGGGGGAATGCGCAGATCTGCCCTCACAGAGGAGGGAGAGCTTGTACCTTAAGGTGGGCTGGGTGGGCCTCTGCAACCTACCTGGCTGCTTTTTGCTCCTCATGGCCCGACTGAGGGCCGCTGGGATCAGGGGGCAGGGCTTGTTGCATGTGCCCGCCCCCTGGTCTCCTTACTGCCGGAGCTCCACTCCTGTGCATTCCCGCAGGAAATAACCCCTGCCTTAGAGACCAACAGGATTTTAAGAGTATAAGTTTTTCGAGAGTCAAAGCTCCCTTTGTCAGATACCAAGGAGTATAGAAACCATATAACGCTTGACACATTTTCTTTGGTTCTAGGAGCCAGACCCGTTCCATGTGCCCTTAGATTAGAAATTAATTGTATTTGAAAAATTGCCTGTAAACTGCTCAGAGTCCTTCGGGTCTGAGCGGTATATAAATTGAATGCATAAATAAATAAATAAATAAATAAATAAATAAATAAATAAATGGCAGGAGTCTGACTCATATTTCAGCCTTCAAGGTTATGGATGACCATATTTTCCAATTACTGCTACCACAGAAGATACTAAGTGCCACGATGAAATTTCTAGGCACCATGGAAACCTAGCGCGTGAGTTTGGTTAAGCCCTGGTATAACGTGCACTCAATACGGCTGAATCTAAAGAATGGACAGGGGAGAGCAGAGAACCTAAACTAAAGTAGAAACAAATGTCAAAAGAAACAAAATGTGGGTCATCACGAGCAGGATCTATGAAATATCGAAAAGGTGCCACTGCACACCTGGAACGTCGTTGTTTCCGCTGGGTAGAAAGACCTGCAGAGAAGACCATTTACTTTCCCCACTACTGCAGAGCTATTCTGAACTTAGTTCGGTCTGACAGATTGCATGCCGTAAGATTTTTAAAGGTTATTCTCTTTAGAAAGAAAAGGATGTCATAGTATCACGGCTTAATTAAAGCCAGCTGAAACTGACAATACATCGTAAGACGGAACTTCCTGGGCTATTTCTAGAAATCCGTGAACTCCGCATGAATTATGATCACAGTTAAAAATATAAGTGAAATTACTTCCAACTACCAGGATGATTAAAATAAAGTGTCCTCTCAATTCCCATCAAAGAAACTGATTATTCATATTGAGAGAGAGAGAGAGAGAGAGAGAGAGAGAGAGAGAGAGAGAGAGAGAGAGAGAGAGAGATCTCCAGGATAAATGTACCCATGATGGGGACAGGCTGTGTGGCTCAGTGGCAGAGCCTCTGCTTGCTTGGCATGCAGCAGGTCCTAGGTTCAATCCCCTGCATCTCCAGTTAAAAGATCAGGTAGTAAGTGATAGAAGAAGGGGACAAGAAAGGATGAGATGGTTAGACAGTGTTATCGACGCAACGAACATGAAATTAAGCAAACTTCAGAGCACGACAGAAGACAGGAGGGCCTGGCATGATGTGGTCCATGGGGTCGCGAAGAGTCAGACTCAACTGTGCGAATGAACAACAACAACAACCACAAAATAAGTGATGTGCAGGACCTCAAGCTAAGATCCTAGGGAGCTGCTGCCCATCTGAGTAGACAATACTGACCTTGATGGACCGATGGTCACATTCAGTATAAACGTCATGTTTTCATGATGTTCCACCATTCCCAAAGACTGGAATAGTTCAGAGATGTGATGCCAGTGGGACAGACATTGGACTTCACAAAACATATATCAAGGAAAGCACTTATTTGAAGCTGCCTTAACGCTCTTTGTCCTACCACTGGACAATTGCGATGAGAAGAAAAGCAAGATTCGAGTCCACTGGTGCCTTAGGGACTAACAAGATTTTTGGGACATGAGCTCGCAAGAGTCAAAGATCCCCTTATCAGATAAATCTTGTTGGTTTCTAAGGCTGATCTCCAGGAACCTCGTTGGTCTCTAAGGCGCTGTTGGACTCGAATCCCGCTCTTCTACTGCAGACCAACATGGCTATACCTCTGACTCTATCGATGGCCAGAAATGGCTCTGCAGTGTCTCAAGCAGAAGCGATGGTGCAAAAGAGACTACAGACCATCTCATCTATTTATTTACATTTATAGTCTGCATTTTTTCATTGGGACTTATGCAGAGTGAGTCATGATCAACAGGATGGGATATTCCAGAAATGGCTCTGCAGTGTCTCAAGCAGAAGCGATGGTGCAAAAGAGACTGTAGACCATCTCACCTATTTATTTACATTTATAGTCTGCATTGTTCATTGGGACTTATGCAGAGTGAGTCAATATGATCAACAGGATGGGATATTATTTTCGTTTTTTAATATGTGCATGTGCGTGTGTGTGTGTGAGAGAGTGCACCTGGAAGTCATGGCGACCTCTGGTGACTGACTGTATGTGCACCTGGAAGTCATGGAGACCTCTAGTGACTGACCCCTACTGGGGGCCTGGAGGATATTCCGAGAGGTGGCTGAATAAAGCCTGCCCCGCCTCCTGAATGCTGGTATTCCAAGGAGGTCTCCCATCCAAGTACTTGCCAGAGTCGACCCTGCTTAGCTTCCACAATCTGAGGAGATCGGGCTTGCCTGGGCTATCCAGGTCGGGGCAACCGGATAGGCGGATAGGATATTCAACAGTTATCTGAGTTGTAGAACCAACCAGAAATCTAAAAAAACAGACCCGAGGCAAAGCATATGGGTTAACCTGACCTATTAAACGATGCAAAATCACACAGTAGGATCCAGCTGACAACAACTGATGCACAGTCATATAGACCACAGTCCTTAATTATTGGTCCAAGTAACTCTGCGAACCATTTTGTGCCGTGCTACCCTATTGCCTGCATTAAAAAAGCCCTCTTGAATAATTCGGTTTTGCATACTTTTCAGAAAGCCAGGAGAGCGGGAGTCTTCCTGATCTCCTCAGGCAGGCCATTCCACAAGGTGGGGGGGCATGACAGAGGAGCCACGAAACCACATGTATGGGCAGTCATTGATTCTGCCCAATTTGCAAGTCAACACCTGTTGAAGATGCTGAGCGAAGCTGTCATGATGGAGTATGCTTGACGGGGTATAAATTGAATGAATAAAATAAAATAAATAAAGGGTTTTGTATGTGATAGCCAGTACTTCAAACTGAGCCCAGTAACTAATGGGCAGTAACTAGTGGAGCGACTGCATGTTAATTTGCGATCAATGGACTGTGCCTAGAGATCTTTGAATTACACCTATCCTGATCAGACATTAGCTTCCGGCTGCATCTTGCATGATCTCGCTTCTGTTCATAGATTCAGATCCGGAAACAATTCGATCTGTTGCCGAATTCTTGGCAATCGTGTTATCACTGAAGCGCTATCAAGATGGGTTTTAATTCACCGATATTTTATGGGAAAAACTTTATACGAGTGTTTATTTTACTCTATTTTACTGGTGTTATCCTAAAGACCTTTGATCAAAGGAACTCATTAACAGAGGAAAGGAGAGGACAAGAAATGGCTCCCCAGGGTGTCAAGCAGAGAAAGATTTTTGCTAACATTCGCTACCAGAGATCCTTCAGCTGGGGATGGCAGAGGTTGCCACTGCACATAAATGGAGCATCAATAGTGCAGGAT